GCGATGGGTACGCTCCACAATCCCATTTCCTGATGGTCTATATGCACATCTATACAGCTTTTTTACACACCATTTCTCACATATGTTTGAAAATTCACTGGATCTAAACACCGCTCCATTATCCATTAACAGTTCTTGCGGTGGGCCATGCTCCCTAAATACGGATTACAATTGACTTTTCAGTACACTTTTGGTATCTTAGTGAGGTAACTTTCTCCAAAATGCAAACCAATTTGTTCCACAGTCTATCATTGTTAAATATGGCGACCCATTTTAGAAGTCACATCACAAGCGATTTGATACCATGTGTCTGGTACATATAGCACTCCACTTTCCTATTTTATTGGTGCTGGATCAATTGAATTACATTGACAACATTTGCGCACACATTCTTTAACTATTCTTCTTAATACGTGCGGAAGTCTTCGTTGCACTGTAAACATAGTCTTATTAACGCCAAAATGATGCTTTGAGTGAAAATGATGTTAATATATATATATATATACATATATACGCCAAATATACATATTTACGCCAAAATGATGCTTTGAGTACGAATTTCTTCAGCAATACTTACTCCACATAATTCTTTAGTATTTCTTTGTGAAAGTTCATTTAACCAAGTCTTTGGAACTCTTGTCAACATGTTAGCTTTGTTTTTGGAGGACGAAACCCGTTTTGACGTGATGTTTATATAATATTCTTTTATAAAGTCTTGCAATAAAGAAAGTCTTCTTTTAATAAGCATTTCTGATTATCATTTTGACCGAACCCTATGACTTTCAGTCAAAATACTTTTTAACCATCCATGAACTGTTATTGAATTAGTGAATACTGACAGATTCTTTATATCCAATTTATATATATATATATATATATATATATATATATATATATATATATATATATATATATATATATATATATATATATATATATATATATATATATATATATATATATATATATATATATATATATATATATATATATGTATATGCATATATTAACATCTTCGCTTCCAACTAGGCTGCAACCACTATTAGAGTTGAAAGTTACTGGAAGAGAAAAGATGACGATTATAGAACAAGATAACGATTGACTTAGAAGATTGCAAATTATATGAATTAGGAAAGCAAGATGAAGAAAGTGAACTCCTAAGAACTGATGTTCGAGGAAAAAAACTAGACGAATAAGAGTTTTTGGAGCACTTAGAAACAGTAACAGAAAAAGGATGAGACTTAGTTGAATGATGAGTAACACGAGAATGAATTTTAGTAGATGGCACAAGAGACGCTAGCTCTTTAGAGCAGTGCCCATTATAGTATTTGTAGAAAAGAGAAAGAGAAGCAACATTACAACGATGTGATAGTGATTAAGGTTGGCTGCAAGAGCAGGTCAAACTATGTTTACAATGTGTTTTTGCACTTTGTTTTAAAAAGAAAGGGTATCATTAGAAGATTCGCCTCAGATATGGCAACAGTATTCCATACAAAGCCATATTTGAGATTTATAGAGAATAGAATCCGGAGTAAGATAGTGTCGAGCTCGATTAAAAGATGTAACCTTAGCAGATGCTAATTTTGTAATGGATATGATATATTGTTTCCAAGAAAGATCGGAATTAAGAATTAATCCTGGAAGATGAAGGCTAGACTCATCGAGTACATTAAAATTCATAAATATAGGAAAATCTAAATTATTGCAATAACGATTGACTTTTATCTGAATTAAAGTTCATCAGCCACTGTGAGCCTCATTCTATAGCAGAAGTGAGATCTTTTTCAAGCTCAAATGCCCCCTCCGAGCAATCAGAGAGTGTTGGCTTCTTATCATGACAAGAACAAATAGTATTATCATTAGAAAACAATGCTACTTTAGATGTAAAAATATCTGGAAGATAATGTAAATTAAAAAAAAGTATAAGGATTGAACCTTGAGGAACCCCTGAAGTTACAGAATATGAAGAAGAGTACTGTCAATCGAGGCCAATTTTTTAACTACGATTGGAAAGGAAAGATTCAATAATCTTAAAGATGTTACCAAATACACTGTAAATAGAAAGCTTATGGAGAAGACCAGCATACCAAACTTTATCAAAAGCTTTAGAAATGTCAAGAGCAATAGCCTCAACCTCTTCACTTTTATCTAACGTACAATAAAACCTATCGGTTATTACTGTTAGTAAATCAGCTGTAGAACGAGAAGATTGAAATCCATATTGATGATCAGAAAGTTATTAGATTCAAGGTGAGAGATTAAGTGTTTGTTAATTAAAGATTCAAAAACCTTGCTTATGATAGAATGAAGACTAATGGAACGGTGGTTAGACGAATCAGATTGCTCTCCAGAATTTTTGAAAATAGGTATAACAGATGCCGCTTTCTAGCAGACTGGAAACTCCGGAGAACACTTCTGCAAGACTATAAAAAAAATGTATGTTGCCCGGGCCACAAACTATAGAAGAGTGTAAGCAACAAACCATTTTAGATACAGAAGCTGGAGTGATTCGAATGTCAAACAATGGATCAACTAATTGCAATCAAAAGACGACAAATTGAATCAAAAGACGATATTGATGAAAAGTTCTTAGCAAACAATTTAGCTTTGTCTTTAGGTGAGGTGACAAAGTCTGAACCACACAAAAGAGGTGGAATAACAGATTTGCCTTTATTATTGATACTGTTAAAGATTCGTCAGAAGTCACAAGAGCCTAATTTTTGTAATGAAATACGAGACTTTTTAACCTGAGAACAGCGAACTTTGGCGTTAAACAAAACCTTTTTACAATGATTTGAATAAACAGACGTCTGTTTTTTGGAGAATCGTTTTGCTGATAGATATGGAAATAACGGTTTCAATTAGAAATAGCAGCAGCACAATGTGAGAAAAACCATAAAGAAGAGTGAGGCCTGGAATTTTTGATAGGGAATAAAAGGTTCCATGCCAACCTGAATCCAGGAAATTATGTAAGAAGCACAGTTATCAACAGGAAGACGAAAGATTTCTACCCAAGGGTCAACACAAAAAAAATTATGGAGTCCCAGTCAGCTTTAAGGTAGTTGTAAGAGGTACAATTATAGGAAGAATTAGATGATGAAGAAGAATGAGATAATAGTTTTAGACTAGGATCAGAAACAAGATCAGAAACAAGACATAAGTCGAGTAGAGAAGGTAAATGATTCGAGTTTTCTGGAAAGCGAGTTGGAAAGTTGATTATTTGAGTTAGAGATTGAGGCAAAAGTTGTGGGGTTTAACGCCTGCAGAGTCACTGGCAATTTGAACTTTGGAAGAGATAAGACTCAACAGAAGAAAAGATACTTCAAAGACCACGAATATTAATGAATGATTAGTTTAGAGAACTTGATGATAGTTTTTTGTGTTTTATAGTTTTTGGTACTTTATTCATTTTAAATTTGATAAAGAACTTGACTAAAAGCATAGACAGTACTTAGTGCACTGTTCAATAGCCCAAGCAATTGCCTCATTTCTATTAATAAACCCTAAGCCGTAACTAAGAACTCTAAGTGTAGCCGCGCAATGCCCACCAAAATTACGAGCAGGAGCACCATTCATGCACAATATGGCACTGTTAGTATTTTTGATATTTTTCAGGTGTTGATTGAATCAGCGTCTTTGAAAGCTACTACAGAGTTCGGGAAACCTGACTACCAGCCGACATCATAAAACTGAGTTTTAGAGCTGTACCCTCATTAGAAGATAATAGAATGAGTTGCCTAGTCATAAAAACAGAGACACAAGCAATACCCATGCATTGAGTCGTTTGGATCCAGCATTCAGCATCCTAAACTGGAAATAATGTATTAAAAATACATCTGCGTTGAAGAAGGGGTGCGAGGCTGGTTAACAGATACAATCTGTTTACCCTTTAAGTTTTTGCCTTAAGAAGCTTTCTACAAGACAGTAGCATTTAACATCTGCCCAATATGAGTATTTTTATCAAGACACCATCACTAGCCTTTACTCAAGCCAGAACCACAAGGCAGGAGGGTGTATAAAGTTGGAGTTGGCTTCTCTAAGCCTTTGCCTAAAAAAGCTTATCCTACAAGCAGCAGGACATGAAGCAGGTTGTACTGGGTTACATGTTAACAGTAGTTACATATTACCAGTTACTTTTTAAATTTATATACATATATATACATGTATAATACTCTAAATAAGTGCTAATTTTACCTAGACCGCATAATAATATGAACACTTTAAATTCGCTCAAAAAACACCATTAATTAAGTAAAAAAATGCAAATCTGACAATTAGAACTAATTTGTGGAACACAATGAATCGTTATTAACAAAACGTATCACCAAAAGATCAAATTTTAAGCCACTTTTTATTGAAGCAATACAATTTTGTTTTACGTAAAAATAAAAATAAAACACCGCAATTTTAGGACTTTAAACCAGGTAATTTCAATAAAAAACATTGAGTAGTTTGATCATGCTTATATTACATTTATATTATTTGATTACTACATAGATGTTATTTGATCATACTATTCACGAGACTTTTAGTGTAAATAATTCTAAAATGTAAATAATAACATTGTAATATAAACGTCTCTAAGTGTCGTATATTGACTTTTAATATTACCTAAGCTATATTAAGCTTAATGTTTAATAAGCTTATTGTTTTAGGATTTTTAATGACTTTTTTTTACAAACTTTTATTTAATTGTATGAGTTGTTTTAAACAAAAGGTTTGTTACTATTTTTAATATATTTTATTATATGAGCTTTATTCATATTTACATTTTGTTGCTTAATTAAACTACCTGAGTTCAATATAGCTTCTATATAGCATTTTCAAAATTCTTATTCTGTAAGGAATTTTTTTTTAATTGCTGTTAAATTAAAAAAAAATTATTATAGAAAAGTATTCTTAAAAATATTTTTTTTTTTTACTAGTTTTCCAATTTTCTAGGTTTTCCTCTAATAATCCTTTATTTGAAAATTCCAATATTATTCTTCATTTTTATGAGTTTCCTGCTTTGCTAAGACTCGGTTTCGTTATGCTTAAAATATCTTTGATTAAATGTGTTTCAGGTTAATTTGTTAGCCGATCTCGGAGGAAGAAAAGTTGACGAAGCTGTTCGCCGCATGATGCAGCAGCTCCTTAGCAATAATTTGGCACTACAATTTAATTGTCAGTGAGGGATGACAAAAAAAGTTTTAAAGGGTACTGAGGTGTTCCAAGTTGTTTATAGTAAGTATTCATAGTCCAAAATAAATTTTTTTAATATTCCTATGCAACTTTACTATTTTATTACAACACAATAGATAAATTGCGTTTGATTATTATCATATATTAAAATATAGTAGGAATCTTTTTTTTTTCCACATTTGATTTAGATGAAAGACAAAAAATGAGGTTTTATTTTTATATTTCTTTGATTATTTCTTATAGGAGCCTTAAAGCGCAATGCTTTGACATCGGCATATACGCAAAAAGATTTTGAAGTGTCGCTCGCAAAATGGCTCATTGGTGCTCGTGATCGAGATGGTAATAGAGCTAAACGTGTCGGAGCTACAAAACAACCGAATATACCTTAGTCACTTTATAATTTAAATCTTTTATACATGTTATGAGACAAAATAAAGTAATAAATATTATAATAATCAACATGTTGTTTATTGTGAATCTCGAGTTCAAAGTATAGGTCGAAGTAAATAAAATAACATAGGGGTTTATTGGGTCCCTATATAGACCATCAAAAGTTCCAAATAGGTTTAAGTAGTTAAAACAAACATAGCAGTTTATTAGATCCAATATGGTATAACCATCAAAAACGGCATATAGTTCAAAGTGAATGAAAAAAAGGAGTTTATTGGGTCCAATATGGGCTAACCATCAAAGTTCCATATAGTTGAAAGTAAATAAAAGAAAACAGGTTTTTAATAAGTCCAATATAGGCAAACCATCAAAAATTTTATAAAGAAAAACAAACAAAAAACATTGGAGTTTGTTGGGTACAATATGGGCTAACTATATGGTTAGCCCACATAGGACCCATTGAAAAACCGCAGACAAATTTTTATGGGTGTCAAATAGGCTTCCTAACTAGGGCCCATAAAACAGCCCACGTGGGTCTAATATACGACCCATATACCATTGCTAACAGGGTATTTCAAAAGTCCATTAACATTTCAGCTAACAATATAAGATTTGTTTTGTTGTTAGCTTGTTGTTGTTGTTGTTGTTGTTGTTGTTGTATGACTTTTTTTAAATATATAAATTAGTTTTTAATTAGTAAATTCTTAAACAGTTTATCATAAAGTTTTACTTTGTAAAATTATTTAAATTAACCATTTAAAAAGTTTATGAATAACTAATAGTTCTGTTTAAAGGTTTTGCATTTTTTTTGATTCCAGAGCTGAGAGAATACTAAAAAAACATCCGACATTATATCACTACTTTTTTTTCTAGTCTCTTATGCCCAGATATATATCCCTTATGATCACGGGCTAGTACCAACAAAACTTAAAAAAATGTTTTCTCTACAAAAATAAGCATGCAGATTTATATATAAGAAAAAAAAAAGTAAAAATGCAAAACAATTAATAGAAGACATGCAAATGGTGAATATATATGAAATCAATATTTACCTATACCTAATTTTTATGTATAAATGTAACAATAGCTTGATTTCAAAAAAATTTAATAATAAATTAATGAAAATTGTAAACAACAAATATTCTCTTAAAATAAACCAATGGAATGGAACTTATAAATTGCAAAGAATTAGTTGTAATTATTCTGAATATGGAATATCATACCGCGGACCAAAAGTATGGAACACTTTTGAAAAAACAAAAAATTTAAATCCGGTAAAATTGTCAAATTCCTTTAAGTTTGTAATAAAAAATTAAATTTTTAAATGAGAAAAATTATTTTCTTGATTTTTCGAAATGAAAATTGAATTCCATTATTCTTAGTCTTTTACTTGTTTAATTAGCTCTTATTTTGATATTTAACAGAGTTGTCAGTATATTTAAATGACTATTGCTAAAACTATATTGATATTATTTACTTTCTTGATTTACTGTAAATATTTATGCAAGCTTTAACCTTTTTATTGGAGATGTACAAAGTTTTTTAACTATCTTATTTTATTCAATAACTCATAAATCACTCAATAACAATATTACTTCATATAAAGTCAATAATCTTCATCGTCACCGAGGTGCCCAGCTGACAGAGCCACTCCATATAAACAGCCCCTTAATAATTCAAAAACACAAACTACAAGTAGAACAACAATTAATAGAAGCTGTGTACAAATAATCTGTGCTTAGTAATAGTCTATGTGGTAGTGGTGTAATGGTTGCACTTGCCTCAAAAAAGAAAGGTTCCGAATTTGATCCCCACCCCGTTCCTAGTAGGACCACGCTCAACTTATTTCTCCGCGCAGCGACCTTGTTCCTGTTTCGGAATTATAGAATTGAGAGAGGGTTGTAACTAAAACTAAAGAAGCTTCCATGACTGTAGTGACATGTTATGTTTTCAAAAAACATATGTTAAAACCATGTAAAAAACAAAAGTTATGTCTGTAAAAAAAAAAATATAACATTGCTTATATACAATAAACATTAAGTAGAATAAAAAAACACAAAATACAAAATATGATATATTTTACTCAATACATAAGTTATAATGAAATATATTAGAAATAAGTAAATGGTTCTAGTGGAGTTAATGTTGAGACGTCGAGGCCCAATCTAGTAAAATAAAAAAAACTTTGATTAGAAATAAAATTACACGAAGTTTACATATTTCAAATTATTGAACTTAAAATTAACTGTAAAAAAAGCAGTGAAAAAATCAACAACAAAAAATGTGTTTGTACATTAATATAAATAAATAAATATAATAAGATATGAAAAACTAGAAAAAATATATATAACATAAATATATATGTTTACCGTCGTCCGTTAGCCATAATTAAAGCATCACTAATTAATCTGTACTCTCTATAAACAAAAAGAAGCATAAAAAACACATAAAAATAATTTTTTAATAATATCATTTTAATAAAAAGTGTGATCATAAACTACTTTTTTTAGAATCATGTAAAAATCGTAAATTTTAAAAATAAGAAATTTAACAGTTATAAACTTGCTTTGTATTTTCTTTACAATAATTGATTGCCATTTTAAAGTTGGCGTCAAAAAGCGTTACGTCTGCTTTATTTTTTAGCAAAACTTCAACCAAATCCTTTTTTTTTGTAAGCACAGCAAGCATGAGAGGTGTTCTGAAAATTTAGATTTGAAATTATTTTAAATAGTTATGACGTAATGGTTTTCATAAGAAATCAAACACAACTAGAAGTTCAAGTCTTATTAAAGTATTTTTTTAGACTTTCTGATGATATTACCTTTCGTGTAAATCTGTACTGTTTACATTTTCATTTTTGAGCAGCATTTTTGCTACTTTGATCACGGTGACGTCTTCTCTCGCATAACATAACTTATGCAAATAATTTAAAGCCTCTGCTTTAGGTGAGCTTTTTTTTAAACAATCGTACATACTTTTTATTACATCTATTTCTTGATCGCCGTACTTTTGCATAATATAATCTAATGCAGCCCGAATTATACTGTTTTTAACGTAGGTGTTCTTCATCAAAACTTTTACGCATTGTAATGCTCGAATTTCAATTGCCTAAAATATTTACAAATTTAATTAAACAAGTTCTAAAAACTTACTAAATAACATGAAAATTAAAATCAAAAAAACAGTATGTAGGTAGTGGCGGACTGTCCTATCGGTGACTCCTTAAATTAGTTTTAAAAATATATTTACACTAAGGAAAAATATAAACATTTAGGCTTTTGACTTCGTTGTCTACATTTTTATTTAGAATCCATTTAAAATTGAATTGTGTCTCAGTCGGAAACTAGACCTGATCCAGTGAACTCCGGAAAACTATCCGCGGGGCACTTAATATTTAATATAAATTCCTATCTGGTAACTAGTCTCCTACAGTAATTTCAAGTTTTGCATACATAATGTGCCAATGGCTTGGTTTTGATTTACAATACTGCCTATCAGAAAGTATGATGGCAATATTGTAAATCAAAACCAAGGTTTTGATTTACAATTCTGCCTATCAGAAAGTATGATGGCGATAATCTGACAAACACTGATTGTGCTTCAAGCTATCATGGTTAGTACAACTATCAAAGATGACTGAAGCTGCAGACCTGCATGTACATGTTTAGTGTTATGGTCATGTTCTCAACTTAATCATAAAAAAGACAACCAGCTGCAATGTTTTCATTAATATGGAAAAATTTTTGTAAAAAATATAAGTGATATACCATTTTAAAATTGCGGTAAAACATAATACTATACCTTGAATAATAACGTCTTTCCATAACTATGACAATTCTCGATATTGGGTTTTTTAAACATTATGCTGCCCGATGATGCACCAAATTGTAATAAACTGTAAATAAAGCATTATATATTAGATTTTTTATATCTTAACAATTTTAATTATGATTTTTGGATCAAACTTTTTTATTAAACTGATAATAATAATCGAAATTCAACTTTTGAAACAATAATAACTTCATATATAATTTTATGGTCTAAGATATTTAAATCATATAAAATAATTTTATTTCTTATACAATTAAAAACTCTCAATTTTATTTATACTTTTAAATATATTAAAAATATTTTAAATCGTAAACTTTTTTGTTTGAATGACATTCTCAGAGAAATTAATAATTTTTATGTATAATTTGATAAATGATACAATAAAATACCTAAATAACTTCGGCAAAGTATATTCCTTGAGCGATTTATTGGAATTACTCCCCCAAACTACTTTTACTTGAGTTCTTTTTAAAAACTGATGTTTTCCCTCGTTCAGGACATCTTGGTCATCATCTTTTTGATTTGTTTTTAAATGATCTTTGTTTGAAATATTTTCAGATACTTTGCTTGAAATATTTTCACTGATGAGTCTGGAAGAAACCAATTTGATATTTTTGTACGGGTATTTTTCTTCGCTAAGAATTGTTGGTATTTCCTTAAAAGATTCTAAACCCAAATCTTTCTTTTTTAACCGAATGAATTTTGATAAAAAAGACTTTTCTTTTACCAAAGAGTACGTTCCTTTTGAAGAACGCAAAAAATTTATTATTTTCATGTCAAACATTTAAATAGTTTTGCGAAAACTAAAACTTTAAAAGCTATGATTTTTTTTAAACTTAAAAATTTGACGTCACTTAAAAAATAGTCGCATATACAGTGACTTCAGTTTTCTTATATAATGACATAACTTTCAAAAAAAAGAAATAAGATTCAAAACTATAACAGCAACAACAATAAGAACAACAACAGCAAAAAAACAACAAAATCTTCAGTAACATTTTAATCTTACTTCTTCATGTTTTTAACTAAAGACAAGACTTGGTCTTCACTGACTTTCAAAAAGTTTTATGGCTAATTTTAAACGGCATTTATTAAATATTGAAGTTAAATATTGGATTTCAAAAATACTTTTTGGAAATGGTTCA